CCTGTGTCAAACAAAAACAAACAAAAAAAGATAATTTTCTCTATATCTTTGGGTCTTTATTCTAAAGGCTCTCATGTACACATTAATAAAATTTATATATGTTTACTCCAGTTAATCTGTCTTTTTATGAGTTGATTTTTAAGATCTTCAGAGGACAAAGGGGAAATCTTCAGAGGACAAAGGGGAAATTTTGCTTGTACCCCTACAATGGTCACCTGTATGGGGGGGGGCAGGGGTCATCGTTTTTTAACTTTAAAATTCTCCCGCAAAAATAGACAAAGGACAAAAGATAAAATAAAAAACCCATGGACAACATCTGTAACAAAATTAGGTGATGAAGTGTCTCCAGGAACCCTAGAACACAAGGAATTGAGGAAAGCCACAGACAGATACAAGGGCTGGGTGGTATCAGCAACCGTATCGTAGAAAGTGGAGGGAAGTCATGACACACTGATAAATCTGATAATCTCTAAACAGCCAGCAGGCAATTGCTGGAAAGCTTGGAGGTTCCACTTGGGAACAGCAGCTGAAACTGGAAAAAGTTTTGCACACTCCAAAGTCAGGGCAATGCAAAGTGTCTGAGGGGCACAGTGAATGTTCAAAACTAACCACCCAAATTTCTACTCCTGGACAAGCACTGCACAGAGAAGAAACTTCTTGGGAAAGGATGGTCATTGTATGGAACTAGGACGATAGAGACCCATAAAGACGGGGTCCAGATGAAAGCAAGGAAGGAAAACAGAGCCTGACCATCTCAGAAAATAAGCCGCGACCGCCGGGCGCAGTGGCTCACGCCTGTAATCCCAGCACTTTGGGAGGCCGAGGCGGGCAGATCATGAGGTCAGGAGATTGAGACCATCCTGGCTAACACGGTGAAACCCTGTCTCTACTAAAAATACAAAAAATTAGCCCGGCGAGGTGGCGGGCGCCTGTAATCCCAGCTACTCAGGAGGCTGAGGCAGGCGAATGGCGTGAAGCCGGGAGGCGGAGCTTGCAGTGAGCGGAGATCGCGCCACCGCACTCCAGCCTGGGCGACAGAGCGAGACTCCGACTCAAAAATAAATAAATAAATAAATAAAGTAAGTAAGCCCCGATAGTTTTAAACACTACACAAATACAACAAAAAAGAGAGTGATCAGCTTGTGAAATTGGAAATGCTTTCCCAAATGCTAACTCCTCCTGAAAGTTTAAGAAAATTATTTCATATTTTTTAAATGAGAAAAAAAAATACCAACATTAAATCTCATACAAAATTACTGTCAGGAAAAAAGAAGTTGAAAAACATCCCTATAGACAATGCCAAAGATGCTAAAAAGACATACCTACAGAACAGATGCAAACCATTACTTATTATTTCAACATATGCTAAAAGAGATTAAAGAAATCAAGACATGAAAAAACAAGAAAAATGAGAATTGGGAAATAGCAGAAATGACATTATACTTAGGAAAAAGACGTAGAAACAATAGTCAAAAACCGAGACTAGGCCGGGCACAGCGGCTCATGCCTGTAATCCCAGGCACTTTGAGAGGCTGAGGCAGGAGGATCCTTTGAACCCAGTAGTTCAAGAACCCAATAGTTTAAGGCCAGCCTGAGCAACAAGCGAGACCCCATCTCTTAAAAAAAAAAAAACAAAAAAAACAAAAAAAAACTACACTGAAAGTAATGGAAGAATAAATAAACACAGAGAATACCTTAAGAGAAGATGAAAGAGAAAAAAAAAATTTTTAATTGAAGGAAAGTAATAAAAAGGGCTTGAGAGAAAGAAACAAACTTAGAGACAGGCAAAAAAGATACACAAAAATATGTTTAACAAGAGTTTCTAAAGAAGAAAAACCAAAGCAAGGCACAGAAGGGCTACCAAGAAACTATAATCAAGAACATTTTCTTCAAATTAACAATATATGTATTTGCAGCTACATAGTGAAAGGTTATACTATATACCTGGAAAAACTGACCCAGGACCGGTAACACCAAAGCATAATAAAATGAAATTACTAGTTAAAACATATATTTTTCAAGACAGTGTCTCTCTCTGACCCCCAGGCTGAAGTGCAGTGGTATGATCACAGCTCACTGCAGCCTTGACCTCCTGAGCTCAAGTGATCTTCCCACCAAAATTACTCATTTTAAAGGGAAAAAATTATTTTGGGCTTCCAGGCAAAAAAATCCACTTATAAAGGAAAAAAAAAATCAGATTTGCCATCAAATTTTTTAAGAGCAATGATTTAGATAGAAGAAAAATGGAGTAACATATTTAAGATATTCAGTGAAACAAAATGTGAGTCAGTAGCTTTCCAAGATAAAGGCAGCATACAAAATGCAATCACTGTGTACAAATTCAGGGAATATTGTTTCCATGAGTACCTCCTAAGGCATCTACTTGACAAAAACTTTCATAAGACAACCATATGTGGTGTATCACATTTATTGACCTGTATATGGTAAACCATCCCTGTGTTCCCGGTATGAAATCAGCTTGATCATGGTATATTATCTTTTCGATATGGTATTGGATTTGGTTAGCTAGTATTTTATTGAGAATCCTTTTGTTGAGGATTTTTGCATCTGTGTTCATCAGGGATATTGGTCTATAGTTTTTTTTGTTATGTCCCTTCCTGGGTTTAGTATTAGGGTAATACTGGCTTTATAGAATGATTTAGGGAGGATTTTCTCTTTCTCTCTTTTGGAATAGCTTCAATAGTATTGGTACCAGTTTTTCTCTGAATGTCTGATAGAATGCAGCTGTGAATCCATCTGGTCCTAGATTATTTTTTCTTGGCAATTCTTCTTATTACTGTTTCAGCCTCACTACTTGTTATTGTTCTGTTCAGTTTCTGATTTCTTTTTATTTCTGGTTTAATATAGGAGGGTTGTATATTTCCAGGAATTTATCCATCTCCTCTAGATTTTCTACTTTGTCCACATAAAGGTGTTCGTAGTAACCTTGAATAATCTTTTGTCTTGGAAGACAAAATGGGGTGCGAGAGAGATGGTTTTGGCCTAAACTGTTTCAGCTCAGATCATCATGCATTAGTTAGATTTTCATAAGGAGCATGTAACTTAGATTCCTTGAATGTGCAGTCCACAATACAGTTCACACTCCTATGAGAATCTAATGCCACTATTGATCTGACTAGAGGTGGAACTCAGGTGCTAATGCTTGCTTGATGCTGCTTACCTCCTGCTGTGTGGCTGGGTGCCTGACAGGCCAAAGACCAGTGGCAGTCTGCAGTCCTGGGGTTGGGGACCTCTGATCTAAAGAACTAATTCTGCAAAAGAGAAACTGAGATCAAGTAAGGTCAAATCAATGAAAACATATCTAGGTGTCAAAGCTAAGTCTTCTAACTCCAATTTATGTCCTCCGTTCTGGAGGGATAATGATATGTTTATGTTTTATTCTCTATTTAAGATTTGCAGATAATCAGTTTGCCAATTAGTGAAGATTCACCATAATTTTGTAGGTACTTGATATGGTTTGGCTCTGTGTTCCCATCCAAATTCCATCTTGAATTGTCATTCCCACTTGTTGAGGGGCGGACAGTGGGAGGTGATTGGGTCATGGCGGTGGTTTCCCCCATGCTGCTTTTGTGACAGTGAGGGAGCTCTCACAAGATCTGACAGCTTAAAAGTGGCAGTTTCCCCTGTGCTCTCTGTCTTTTCTGCTGCCTTGTAAAGAAGGTACTTGCTTCTCCTTTGCCTTCTGCCATAACTGTAAGTTTCCTGAGGCCTCCCCAGCCATGCAGAACTCTGAGTCAATTAAACCTCTTTCCTTTATAAATTACCCAGTCTCAGGCAGTTCTTTGTAGCAGTGTGAAAATGTACTAATACAGTACTTAAAAAGAGATCACAAGTATACTTACCCAAAATAGATCAATCGTTGGTAGTATTAAGTTTCCATCCTGGATTTCTCAGTGTTCTAGATGCCTAAAAGTAAGATTGTTTTACTTTTAGGTAACCAATCAGGTATTAATTTACAATGTTGGCACACTGCAATGTGGTTTAGGCACAGTCAGTCTGTTTACTATACAGAAAAAATAACGAGGCTAATATTTTCAGTGGTCCTTTCCTGAATTGCCCGCCCATGTTTAGAAGCATGACTATATTTTGAGGAATGCTTATGTGACAGCATGAGGGCTAATGCCTGTTGTTCATTTAGTTTATGGTTCTCTTCCTACATTCTTATGATTTGCAAACATTTGTTAGAACATGGAGCGCTTTGGCCTACTTGACTGCATCCCACTTGCAAATGGAGAGGATTTCAGAGTCAATCATGAATCAAGAACTATGAATCAAGGCCAAAAATCGCAAAAGGAATGAACTGGAGATCAGTTAGTACATCAGGTCTGGATGTGGCCTGGTGTCAGCACAGAAAGACTGAACTCACTAGGCTTCCTGACTCTTTGCACTCTTTTTAGGTGATCACTGAACAATCAACAGGGCCCAAGGGGGAACAGAGTCAACTGGAAGGCTGCTGGGAGTGGAAGCTCTCTTAGGGCTTTTATTTGGTCAAGAGAACAAGGCCAGGGGCATAAATTAAAAGCAAATTCAAAAGGTCTAAAAAAAAAAAAATGCTAAGTAGACTGTGGTAGTCTCAAAGGTATGAGGCCTCGAAGGCACAGACTTGTTATTAATATTTGTCATGAAGCAGTAAATACTTTGAAATTGAAAATATATCCCCTTTTTAAGGAAAGACTCAATCTGATTTGAGTAAAGCCTGACCAAGCCCAAATGTCACACAGTTATGAATCACTGTCCAGAGTGGATTATGCAGACGAGTAGTTTCTTTAGCCATGACATTTTAAGCAAAGTAAACATTTTCGAAGTGGTTGCATAACAAACTGGTGGTACTATATTTTTCTTAATTTCTTCCTAATATGTGGAGGTCCACAGCAGAATTACAGGACAACTTGTTTGTGTGTGAACTAAAATAATTTTGGCATCATGTTATAAGAACTGTTCCTTCTACAGAGTCTAAAAATGGAATAGGACTGTTGAAGATGCCGTCCATGGTATGGGGAGGTGGAAGAGTTTTTCAAACTTCTGCAGGTCATTTTGATAAGAGGAAGCTATATTTCTTCATTTTTTCTACTGCTTTGAACTTGTAACAAAAAACTCCTTTTCTGAGATACTTAAAAATCTTCAGACTTTGCCATAAGAACCTTTTGTTTGTTTGTTTGTTTTTTGAGACAGAGTCTCGCTCTGTCGCCCAGGCTGGAGTGCAGTGGTGCGATCTCGACTCACTGCAAGCTCCGCCTCCCGGGTTCACGTAATTCTCCTGCCTCAGCCTCCCGAGTAGCTGGGACTACAGGTGCCCTCCACCACGCTCGGCTAATTTTTTGTGTATTTAGTAGAGATGGGGTTTCACCGTGTTAGCCAGGATGGTCCCGATCTCCTGACCTCATGATCCGCCCGCCTCGGCCTCCCAAAGTGCTCAGATGACAGATGTGAGCCACTGCGCCCGGCCGCCTAAGAACATTTCTATTCTGTGAGTCACCTTCTGGAACATTAAGAAGAGAGTCCAGGGCCAGGCAGAGTGGCTCATGCCTGTAATCCCAGCACCTTGGAAGGCCGAGGTGGGCAGATAATTTGAGCTAAGAAGATTGACACCAGCCTGAGCAACATGGTGAAATCCCATCTCTATAAAAAAATACAAAAAGGAGGTGGGCATGGTGGCACATGACTGCTTCCCTGCTATTTGAGAGAATCAATTGAGCCCAGGAGGTCGAGGCTGCAGTTGAGCCATCATGGCACCTCTGTACTCCAGCTTGGATGACAGAGCGAGATCCTGTCTCAAAAATAAGAAAATAAAAAAGGAGGCCAGGCACAGTGGCTCACGCTTGTAATCCCAGCACTTTGGGAGGCCGAGGCAGGTGCATCATGAGGTCAGGAGTTCGAGACCAGCCTGGCCAACACAGTGAAACTCCATCTCTACTAAAAATACAAAAATTAGCTGGGCATAGTGGCAGGCGCCTGTAATCCCAGCTACTTGACAGGCTGAGGCAGGAGAATTCCTTGAACCTGGGAGGGAGAGGTTGCAGTGAGCCGAGATCATGTCACTGCACTCCAGCATGGGCGACAGAGCTAGACACTGTCTCAAAAAAAAAAAAAAAGAAAGAAAGAAAGAAAAGAAAAGAAAAAATGAGGAGAGTCCAGTTGGGTCTTTAAGTCCACTGAGAAAAAAAACAGATAATCAAGAACCTGGGAGTTACTGGTAAATAAATCAGGACCATTCGCTGCTCTCACGTTCTCACTTTCTTGTTATACAGCCACTGTTATAACTGGTCAGTTTGGGATCTTACCACGCATGTCTCACCATCTTTGGATAGAAGAATTAAAAGTCATAGGCCGGGCACGGCGGCTCATGCCTGTAATCCCAGCACTCTGAGAGGCTGAGGTGGGTGAATCACCTGAGGTTGGGAGTTCGAGACCAGCCTGACCAACATGGAGAAACCCCATCTCTACTAAAAATACAAAATAGCTGGGCTTGGTGTCGCATGCCTGTAGTCCCAGTTACTTGGGAGGCTGAGGCAGGAGAACTGCTTGAACCTGTGAGGTGGAGGTTGTGGTGAGCCGAGATCGTGCCATTGCCCTTCAGTCTGGGCAACAAGAGCGAAACTCTGTCTCAAAACAACAACAAAAATCATATGACTATGTGTAACATACATATTCTCTTCACAAAAACAAAGAAAAGGTCATCGACAGTATCACAAAATTCCAGCATTCAGGGACTTTGCCAGAGATTACCGCAACTTCTTACAATGCTTCAGCACCTATCTAATGAGTGCTCACAAGAAAATTTCTGGAATGTTGTATAAAGCAACTGTGTTTACCTCTGCACCAAGGGATTTGTGGAGATGTTCACATTTTACCGGGAGCATAGTTGACTTTCAGAAGTTTATCCGAAGAAGCTGCTGTCTTTCCACGCTTCTATTTACAGCCAATCCTTGATCTCATTATGCTGTTGTAAGACTGGTCCCTGTCTGGGTGAGTAACTTCCTCAAGTTGAGTTTTATTACAATGCTTTTGTTTTTTTGGCCAGGCACAGTGTGGCTCACGCCTGTAATCCCAGCACTTTGGGAGGCGAAGTCTGGAGAACTGCTTGAGCCCAGGAGTTCAAGACCAGGACAGGCAACATAGTGAGACCCCATCTCTATTAAAAAAAAAAAAAAGAAAGAAAGAAAGAAAAAAAGAAGAAAAAAACTTCTAGTTTTATTCACAGTCACCATGAAAAATAGCCACATGAAGTTCCTTATGGTATTTTAATAGTATACTGTCATTTTCCATTTTGTAGTCTTGAATTGAAAATGAGCGACAAAAATTTTTCTTAAAATTCAGTGCTAGGAAAAGCTTTTCTTCCTTTGAGAAACTATCAGCCTCTTTTGAAAATGACTGTTAGTAAGTGGTTAGCAAGCTCAGTGTTTTAATTTGTTGCTCAATACTATGTTTACTGTTACCTGTGTGCTTTTCCGGGAATCCCATTTTACACTAAAAATACCTACACTTTGAAGTATTTATTTTTAAAATGTACTGTTCCTGTCTTTTAAAGACGTTCAACTCCCTTCTCAATGAGGTGGTGGTATAAGGAAACATAAATAACAAGAAAAGGGACCTGGATTGGGAACAAAGGCTCCATGGACTCCATTGGAGTTCCCCTTGAGAATTAAGGCCTGGAATACTTTTTTCATTTCTGATTGAATGCAACTTTGGGAAAGTTAGCTGGAAGCTCTACCCTAGGGAGATGTCACTGCTAATAAAATTGTAAGGAATTTGCTAATTCATCGTTTTCACCACACTTGTGTTAGAGCTTTATATACCAAAGTTGTCTTTTTTAGACGAACTAGAGAAGAAATAGGGTCGAAAGCATCTATTGAACTTTTTTTTTTTTTTTTTTTTTTGAGACAGAGTTTCGCTCTTGTTGCCCAGGCTGGAGTGCAATGGCGAGATCTTGGCTCACTGCAACCTCCGCCTCCTAGGTTCAAGTGATTCTCCCGCCTCAGTCTCCCCAGTAGCTGGGATTACAGGCATGCACCACCACGCCCAGCTAATTTTTGTATTTTCAGTAGAGACGGGGTTTTTTTGTTGGTCAGGCTGCTCTTGAACTTTCAACCTCAGGTGATCTGCCTGCCTCGGCCTCCCAAAGTGCTGGAATTACAGATGTGAGCCACCATGCCTGGCCAATCATTTATTTTATCTATAAGTGAAATTCGTTCACAGAGAAACTTTCGTCATTCCTGATGGCAAAACTTCATGTGGGAAAACATTTTAAAATATTAGAATGGGTTCTGTTATTTATATGGCTCGAAATCCAAAAAAAGTACAAAACTATATTTACTAACAAGTTTTTCTTCAAATGCTGCCCTTTATCCAACTCCCATCTCAAGACACAACTAATACTATCTGCTTCTGGTATATCTCTTCAGATATTTTATGGGTTTTTGTTTTGTTTTCTTTTGACACAGGGTCTTGCTCTGTCACCAGATTGCAATGCAGTGGCACAATCATGGCTCATGGTAGCCTCAACCTCTTGGACTCAAGCCATCCTCCCACCTCAGCCTCCAGAGTAGCTGGGACTACAGGCACATGCCACCATGCCCAGCTAATTTTTGTATTTTTTATAGACAGGGTCTAAGTTGTCCAGGCTGGTCTCAAACTCTTGGGCTCAAGTGATCCTCTCCCTTAGACTTCCCAAAAAGCTGGGATTAAAGGTGCAAGCTACCATGCCTGGAAGCTTATGCTTATTTCATGCTTATACAAACATATCTATATAAGTATCCATACACGTGTGTATCATTGCCTCATTTTTAGTAGAAATTGTAGCATACTATTAGGTAATTGTTTTGTGTTAAAAAATGCACATGATATATATTGAAGATCATCTCATAATAGTACAAAGAGCTTTCTCATTCTTTTTAAAAGCTTTCATAGGATTTCATTTTATGCCTGTATCATGATTTACCAGTCCTTTACTAAAGAATATTTGTATTTAAAAAAATATTTTATTATAAACAACGCTGAAATAAACAAGGTTGTAGATACATACCATTTCTCATGTGCGTTGTAAGATAAACTTTTTTTTTTTTTTGAGACAGAGTCGCGCTGTGTTGCCCAGGCTGGAGTGCAGTGTCACAATCTCGGCTCACTGCAAAGTCTGCTTCCTAGGTTCAAGCGATTCTCCTGCCTCGGCCTCCCAAGTAGCTGGGATTACAGGTGCCTGCTGTCGTGCTGGGCTAATTTTTGTATTTTTAGTTGAGATGGGGTTTCACCATGTTGGCCAGGCTGGTCTCGAACTCCTGACGATCTGCCCGCCTCGGCCTCCCAAAGGGCTGGGATTGCAGGTGTGAGTCACCGTGCTACCACGCAGGGCCAAGATGAACTCTTACATGTTTATTTGCAATATTGTTAGGTATCCTGACCTAACCCCTATGGACGTCATGATAATTTACATTAATATTTTCATTGTGACTGCTTGTCTATATGTTTACTAACACTGTAGTTATCAAACTTTCTAATCTTTGACAATCTGATAAGTGAAAAAATGGTTTCTCAATATAGTTTTAATTTGCATTTTCTCATGGAGGAAAAAAAATTGAGTTTTTTTTTTTTTTTTTTTTTTTTAGGATAAAGGGCCACAAAGTTATGTGAGTTATTATTTTATCCTTAATATTGTTCCTGGAGTCTGTAGCAGGTCAGCATCAGAGTTCAGAGATCAGGAATATGGCAACATGCCCAGAACCAAGATGAAAAGAAAAGCCAATAGGCCCCATTTCATGAATATTTGCCTTGAGGAGTCCCTGAAGATGTCCTTAGAAGTTAACTTCTGTTTTTACGTGGAGACAATTAGAAGTTAAGTTTCAGATTCCCCAGTGCCTGCAAAAGTGGCTCTAATTACTTAGCAGAGGATAGTCTTTTTCCCCCTTCAAACCATCTGATACAAAAATGAAGTAAAACTGGTTCTATATTTATAGATATAACTAAGCCACACAATAGGATTGTGGGGTTTAGACGAAATCATCTAGGTCACATCAGGGTTACAAAGATTAAATGATATGTTTAACACAAGAAGTATTCTGCTTAGGGATGGAGGCTTGCTGCTAATTAGCATAATTGCCTCGTGACTTGCAGAAACTATGTCAGTGTTTTCTTTTGTTTCTGTGTGCTTTTTCATAGGGAGAATCATCTGGTGGTGTTTAATACTATATCTATTTAAAATTAATCACATGCCTTTCCTAACAACAGGGATCATGTTAGTTGCATGTATCTTTTTTTTTTTTTTTTTTTTTTTTGAGACGAAGTCTCGCTCTGTTGCCCAGGCTGGAGTGCAGTGGTGCAATCTCGGCTCACTGCAAGCTCCGCGTCCCGGGTTCACGCCATTCTCCTGCCTCAGCCTCCCGAGTAGCTGGGACTACAGGCGCCCACCACCACGCCCGGCTAATTTTTTTGTATTTTTAGTAGAGACGGGGTTTCACCGTGGTCTCGATCTCCTGACCTCGTGATCCACCCGCCTTGGCCTCCCAAAGTGCTGGGATTACAGGCAGTTGCATCTATCTTTACAACAGGGATTTCAAAAGCAAGTGAGAAGCGTCGTTATGTAATGGAATTAAAAAAGGAGATTAGGAGTTAGGCTTGCTGGGTTTGCACTTGCCCTCACTGGCTGTGTGACCTTACGCTAGTCACTTGACCTTTCTGAGCTTCAATTCCTCATTTGAATAATGGAGATAATCTGACCTTTATACCCCTGGGTTTTGTAGTCAGGAAAGAATGGATCATTGTACATGTGAAAAGGCTTTACAACTATCAACGGCAAGACATCTGTCAGTTATTCTAATATTCATGGTATAGAAAACTGTGAAATACAGCGTCCTTAGGTTTATTCTCCAAAAACGTTCACTTCTCTTTAAAAGCTTTTAGCAAACCACAATCCAGGTAACTAAGAAGAAATATTAAAAATTTGTTCTCAGGTTGTCTGACATTTCGTGGTTCAGTAATGTTACATCTCTCACAGGCAGAATAGCATCTTCGGACAAGTTTTCTATTAAAAATATGTTTTATAGAAGAAAATATTTCACGGGCCTAAAAGACAGCTGTGGATGAAATTCGCTCAGTTTAGCAAAGAGCGAGGACTATGTTTGTGTTTAGAGAAAAGTGGGTCGGGCCTAGTTTCTCCCTGGGGTTCTAGACTCCTTTCCACGTTGTATCTGAAGCTCTAACAGCTGGGAAGCTCCTTTCTTTAACCTTTATTACACACTTGCTAGTAAACTTGCTAGAAGCATGAAGATAATACAGACTGCGAATCAGCCCTTCTAAGACACAATCACGACTCCTTCCTTGCACGTCTCCGCCCTAATAATTCTGCCACGGTCCCACCTTCTATCCGCCCCGCGGTGCGAGGCCCCTCGGCCTGCAGGTGGCCAGAGGGAAGCAGGAGGCAGATCCCCCACCTACGCCGGCCCGGCCTGGGCCCCAGCGCTGGGTGCGGCGGAGCCCTGGGCTCCTGCGGGGACGAGTGTGGTCCCGGGACGCGCGGTGCAGCCAGGTGCGCAGGCGGCAGTGGCAGCCGCGGCGCCCCGCGTCGCACGTGGCAACAGGTGCAGCGCTGTCCCGGCCTGGCGCCGCGGGGCGTGGGGCGCGTCCGCACTTAGCCCGGGAGCGCGCGGAGCGTCGGGATTGGGACCCGGGAGCGCGAGCGGAGGGCGGGAGCGGCCGAGCGGAGTCCAGCGCCCCAAGGTACGGCCTCGCACGTCATTCAGGTTCCCGGGACGGCCGCTCCCTGGGGCGGCGGCTGGCCTTGGTCTCCCGCCGCGAGCCGCTGGAGGGGAGCCTTCGGAGGGAGCCGCCGCGGGTTGGGGCGGGAGGCCCGAGTTCGGCTATTTACAAGTTTCCCGAACTCCCCGCCCTGTTCCACCCCCTGGCGGCCCCGGAGGCGGGGAGGCGGGGAGGCCGGGGCTCCGGGTCCCTCCTGGTAGCCGCCGCAGGGCTGGGGTGGTGCCGCGCCGCGCGCCCCCAGGTGCAGACGCCGCCCCCGAGACCTCCGGGGCGGGTCCGCGGCGACCCCGCCAGCGGTCCAAAGGGCGCCCGCGCTCCCCGCCGCTGCGTCTCTGCTCCCTGGGCGCTTGAAGGAGCTGCGGGTAAGTGCGGGCTGGGGACTGTTCCCGCTGCCCCGCGGCCGGGGTGGAGAGGAGACCGGTCCCCGGGGAGGGGAGGGGGCGTTGCGGGAGCTTGGGGGCTGAAGCTGGGGCGGGTAGGGGGGGAAGGGGGTGGCAGCGCTGGCGGAGCGGAGGCGGGTCTCACGTGGGCCAGCGCAGAGCCTGCGGAAGGGACGGATGCGGATCTCGTTGCTGTCACCTTGAAAGTGACCGAGGAGCTTGACGGTGGACTCCTTACGCCGCCCACCCGGGCCCGACGGTCCCAGCCTTCTCGCTGGGTCCCTTCTCAGCGGAAGCAAGCGGGGCCGAGAAAGCGGGTGGAATAGGGTTGCTGCAGGTCCCAAGACCCCTCCCCGCGCCTCGCTACTTTCTGCAGCTCGTTTGCACTTTTCACGCTCTAGAAAAATCCACTCTTAATTAAGGTGACCTTATTGACTACTCTGTAGTACTTAGTAGACTTAGGTGTTTACTGACGAACCTTTTTATTTTTTGAAGACGTACTCCTTTCTACCAAATTGTTTGTTGATTTTGACTTGGAGTGATTTGGGCCTAGGAAGGAAGAGGTTAATTCTTCATTTAGCCTGCGTAGTTACACATACTCTGTTAAAGACTGTTGGTTTGAAATAGTGTTCTAAGGAAATCCAGTGTGTTTTGTTTGTTTCAATGAAACCAAAGTCTTAGGCAAAACGGTGGGTGAAAGCTTTCAAGTTTTACCAGGTGCAGGTGATTGGAAGTCAATCATCACTAAATCACAGCACTGGGGCTGGAGGGTGGGAGTGGGGGGGTTACGAGTGGATTTCAGGAGGAAGGGAGGGAATGCAGGAGGGGAGGGTATTAAAAAAGAGAGTCATTGCTTCCTGGGAACGAGTGACCTCTTTAAGGAGGCTATATAGAAGATAACAGTGCATGGATAACTTTAAAAGGAATTGCATAAACATACTTGCAATTCTGTAGACAGATTTCTTTTTCAGAGATGATTAGGGCAGGAAATGGACAATGTAAATGAAAAGGATGATGTCCTGTTAGTACAGTGCTTTACAGTGTAGAAAGTGCTGTTACAGATTTTTTCTTCTTAGGCAGTATATTCCATTAAGAAAGCTATACAAAGAAAACATTAGAACTACATGCTTATCCTTAAAACCAAAACTAAAATCCTTAGAAGTGGAATTTAGTTTAAAATAATATGTAGTTATTTATGTAGCTTGCACCAAGTTTTTTCACCTATTCTTTTTAAAATCAGGTTTATGAAGAGAAAATAGTTCTTGGTAGATCTGCTTGGTAGAAAATCATGCTTGGAACAAAACCTTTTAATTATGTGTCAATAAGTCAAGGTTACATTTTGGAGTATAATAGGGTTAGAAAATTCTAGATAAATATCTTATAATTTTTGGAAACTAACCTGCAGTTATTAGACTCAAGCATTTAAAAAGCCTGTTACTTAATAGCCCTGGTCTGTTAACCCTGTTTATGATTTCAAAAGTAATCCATGCTTGCTGTATAAAAATAGGTAGATTGAGAAAAGTGAGTTAAGCAATTTCATCAAAGATAATCACAGTTAATATTTCAGAAAATACTTGTTAATATATAGAAAATACTTTTTTACAGTTATATAGTTTACCTAAATATCCTATTGCATGCTAGGTTTTTTGCTGCTTAATATATCATGAAAAATTTTCCATGTCATTAAATCTTCAAAAATCTTAGTGGTTACTTAATATTACATTACATAGATGTATCAAACTTTTTCATTTATTTCCACTTACTATTACTAAATATACTTTTGCAACAAATACCTTCTCAAAACTTTATGTGCAAGGTTAATATCCTTAGAGCCTTTGAAATACAGTTGTTAGTTGGAAGATCTCATACATATTGATCACTTGCTTTCCAAAAAGTGTTTAACCAAATTATGTTCCCACCAGCACTCTGAGAATACTGGTGTTACCATATTCTTGTCATCATGGAGAATCATCCTTAAAAGGAAAAAAAAAAAAAATCTTCCCAGTTTTATAGGTGAACAGTGCTTTCTGTATATTTGAACTTTGTTTGATTACAGATGATTTGAACACCAAAGAAATCTAGTTGTTTTCCATTTTGAAATTTAACATAGTGCCGGATTTTTCTCCTGGGATATTAGTTTTTTTCCATTAATTCATAAGAACCTTTTATGGATTGATAGTAAATCTTTGCCATTCATATTGCAGATACTTTTCCCTTTTTATCTTTGCTTTATATATTTACAGTGTTTTTGACATACACAAGTTTCTTTAATGTTGATAAATGTGTTGACTTTCTCAAAACAGAATTTTTAACACTTCTAAATCTTAGCTTCAGAACTATGTGTGACTGGTAGAAGATTTTTAAAAAAATTTCCAGCCGGGTGTGGTGGCTTACACCTCTAATCCCAGCACTTTGGGAGGCCGAAGCAGGTGGATCACAAGGTCAGGGGTTCGAGATCAGCCTGGGCAACATGGTGAAACCCCATCTCTACTAAAGATAGAAAAACTTAACTGGGTGTGGTGGTGTGCACCTGTAATCTCAGCTACTTGGGAGGCTGAGGCAGGAGAATCGCTTGAACCTGGGAGGCGGAGGGTGCAGTGAGCCAAAATCAGTCCAGTGCACTCTAGCCTGGGTGACAGGTCAAAACTCCATCTCAAAAAAAAAAAAAAAAAAAAAAATTCCCCAAATTCTGAATTAGAATCTTTTGAAATTCATTACAAGAACTTCGATATCTTGGAGTAGAGACTGTTGCAAAACTAATTGCATTTGTTGATGAGAAACCATTGGGCTTGGTGTATACTATTAGGAACAGCATCCTTTGAAATCGGAGCAGAAAGTTTTAAATCCCAAAGATTGAATGTTTTCAGATCTGTTGTTCTGTGATTATACGAAGTAGGCTCACACTCCATTTCTTTTCAGTAATCTATTTGTAGTATCATTTTGCCAGATTCTTCTTTTTATAGTCATTATTATGGTTTCATACGGACTTGTTGATGATGAGTCTTGTGTTGATGTCCAGACAAATGTCCTGTATGTGTAGTTAAAAAATTTCCTGGATTAATTTCCAATACTGCTACTCAGCAAACTATTTATTTGGGGGGGGGGGAACACAACTTCCTGATTTCTCAAAGTTGAGTTCTTTCTCTGTGTTGTGAAAGCTTAAATACACCCTGAAAGGCCTCACTGAAAGAAGTGCGTTCTTCATCAGAGCCTGAGTCCCTTTTATTCCCCAAGCTTACAGCATAAGAGTAAGCAATAGGACCGTATGTGAGCCATAAGGATGAAATTGGAGTTCAGCTTAGTGAACTCCACATTTTTAAGTGGAGTTTTAAACTCCACATTTTAAGCACATTTTTAAGTGCTTAGGGGCACTTAAAAATGGCCTCAGACTTTCTCTGGAGGAAGGCAGGCCCCGGAGGGAGGCGACCACTTAGCAGCGGGTACAGTGGTGACTGTGGCCTCTTGAGAAGGAGGGTGAGTGATCCCACCCCGCAGGAAATGAAGGACTAGATGGGATGGTATGAACTCAGCTAGCTTGAAATCTGGCCCCAAAAAGCCTACTCTGACCAGGAAGTCTCTATACCTGGTTTAGGATGGTCCAGTCAGTATAACCAGGAGTTGAGTTTGACTTGTAATATCTTCTTTTTTTTTTTTTTTGGAGATGGAGTCTCGCTCTGTCCCCCAGGCTGGAGTGCAGTGGTCGGATCTCAGCTCACTGCAAGCTCCGCCTCCCTGGTTTATGCCATTCTCCTGCCTCAGCCTCCCAAGTAGCTGGGACTACAGGCGCCCGCCATCTCTCCCAGCTAGCTTTTTGTATTTTTTTTTTAGTAGAGACAGGGTTTCACCGCGTTAGCCAGGATGGTCTCGATCTCCTGACCTCGTGATCCGCCCGTCTTATTTTATTTTATTATTTTATTTTATTTCATTTTATTTTATTTTATTTTTTGAGACAGAATATTGCTCTGTCACCCAGACTGGAGTACAGTATGATCATAGCTTACTGCAGCCTTCACATCCCAGGCTCAAGTGATCCTCCCACCTCTGCCTCCTGAGCATCTGGGACTACAGGTATGTGCCATCATGCCTGGCTAATTTTTGTATTTTTTTTTGTAGAGACAAAGTTTTGTCATGTTGCCCAGGCTGGAGTTGAATTGCTGGGCTCAAGCAAATCCTCCCACTTCAGCCTCCCGTAGTGCTAGGATTATAGGCATGAGCCACTGCCCCCAACCTAAAAATTTCTTTCTTTCTTTTTTTTTTTTTTAATTGAAATGGAGTCTCACTCTGTCACCCAGGTTGGAGTACAGTGGTGCGATCTCGGCTCACTGCAACCTCCACCTCCCAGGTTCAAGTGATTCTCCTGCCTCAGCCTCCTGAGTAGCTGGGATTGCATGTGTGCGCCACCATGCCTGGCTAATTTTTGTATTTTTAGTAGAGACAGGGTTTCACCATGTTGGCCACGCTGGTCTCGAACTCCTGACCTCAGGTGATTGCCTACCTCAGCCTCCCAAAGTGCTGGGATTACGAGTGTGAGCCACTGTGTCCGGCCTCAAAATTTATTTCTAAACCAAGTTCTGTAGATGATTGCCCTGATGATGGTTATTTATTTATTTTCTTAGAGAAAATCCCTCAGTAATCTTTGAAATTACTCTTGGATCTGGGGCAGTTTTCCATGATGACATTAATGCATGACTTTTTCATGTTCACTCGGCCTTAGATGGTAAAAAAGACTTCCATTTTGGAGATGACAAATTTGGGGGCTCTTTGCTATGTGGATACACAGGATAAAACTTCATTTTCATACACTATAAGCAGATTGGCAACTGGTGATTGCCCTGATATATAAATGTTGCACAATCAAGGAAGAAAGGGTGGGTTTTCTGAACAAATTTAGAGTGTAAACAAGGTCGAACTTGGAAGTGCTTCACTTAAGTAAATAGCTTTCAAGTACTTCAGAAGTACGTATTTGCATATAAATCTTGATTACAAAATAACTTGGTTCATTAAAGCTTAGACTTCAAGCTGTATATTGTAAAGTAGTAAAATTGTATTTATTCAAAGGTAAACTGCATTTAAATCTTGCTAACAGGCCCCTGTCTAAATTAAGAATGTTCTTGTCTGCACAGTAGTTGGATTTTTTCATTCTAACCTAGAAACTTTAATTTTGAAATTGTAAAATTAAGTAAAGATAATCTTAAGGTCACTTCAAGTTTCTCGTGAGGAAACATGTTTACTTTTGGAGTGGCGTTGATTAGAATCTTTTTGAGCAGTGAAAGAAGATGAAGTGCAGGTTCTGAGTTTCTCGGACTAGCTGGGAAGGGCAAAGGGTTGCAAGGAGGCCGCACCTCCTGGGAGCGGAGTTTGCCCTGAAATTGCACTGATTTCACATTTCAGTGAGGTTGTGTGGAGTGGAAAGGGA